CCTTTTAGAATCCTATGTCACATACACACAAATTTTAGAGGCTTTTTTTTTTTATTTAGGAGAAAAAACCTGTTTTCAAAGAAAATCTGTTGTTCAGATTTTTAAAAAGTCCTGAAATGCTATCTAAATAAGATAATTATATTTTATGCCAACAAAGTAAATGTAAAAATAACTCAAAGCTATATAAATAAAATTTACTGTAATAAGTGATTATTCCAGAGACATGTTAAATATATTCAATAGGGATCTTCAATTAATTTTCATTTCTGCAGTAAATTATTATAATGAACAATGTAAAGCTATGAACCACTGTAAATGAAGTTAGATTTGTTTTTAATCTTAAAGAAATGTATTATTTTGAGTGTTTAACTATGATTTGTAATCCTTAGAAATTATATTTTTACTATTTTAATGTACTCTGTTAGCCATAGAACTTTTTTCAAACTGGCAATATACATCATTTTAGGTCTATTAAATGTCTTAATTTTTCAGAGATCAAGAAAGCCTACATTTTTTAAAACTTTTGGATTTTCACTTGTATTCCACCAGAAGTTTTCATGTAAGTTTTAAATATAATTTTTGCTTGAATAAAATTCCCTTTCTAATAGTAATTATAATTGTATTAATAACAAATAATTAACATTTGTTGGTCCCCTGCTATGGGCCCAGCCATGAATTAGATGCTTATAGGAGCAGTTACTTTTAATCATCACAACTCTGTAAGGCAGCTAATTTATAGTTACTATTTTATTAATTGAAAAATTTTGGCTGATAAAAGTAAGAGAAGTCCAAGGTTTTGAAGCTGGTAAGTGGAAGACCCAGATCTGCTTGGAACAAACAACTGTGTTCTTCATCTTTAAACAATACCATCTCAAACTATAAATCTGCCTGTCTGGAGGAATGTAGAGAGAACATGATGTATTGACTAAAAATGTAGCCAATTAAAATGTAATCGGAAGAGTTAGGCATGATTTATATAAGGCACCATAGCCTGACTGGTAAAGCTCAGTCGGAGTGGAGGGTTGCCCCGTGGTGGCCACAGGTATGACTACCATCAGTTCATTGTCATCACTGGATTCTGCTGTTGCTCACCCCTGGATTTCTCAGGGCAACCTGGAATCAACCTTACTGAGAAATGTAATTTCAGGTCATTATATGGTAGAAGGGACCTGCTGTTACTGAAAAATAGCTCTTACAACTTTTTTTAAGTCATTATTTTTGTAGGAAAGAAGGTTATTTTTTCTCTTTCTGAAAACCCATCATGTGGTTATAAACACTGAAGAGCTGATATGTTTTGTCCTATTTCTATGTACATTCTATGTGTAGAGGGTACGTGTGTCATGTGAATGAAATGAATTATAAAAATAGCATGGCACTATATACTATTACAGTAAACCCCAAGGCTGATGTAAATTTTAACAAGGGAATCTTTTCAAAAAGGAAAGCAGAAATATCCTGATTCTATTTCTTATTACTATTAAAATACTATTAAAATGGAACATAAAATTCCAGATTTGTGAGGAAGCCAAAAGGGATAAGCAAAATGCAAGTTTTCCTTATTTATTTTGTACACAGTATATTTTTCTTCTTTGAAAAGTTAATTATGCTTTATTTGTTGCAATTCCAACACAATAATGATTTCGATCTAGGTCAGATGAAGCATGATTCTAGAAAATGCTGAAAGGTAATAGATGACAAAACAACTTATTTTACTCTTTTGTTAAATTACAAAATATTTACACCCAAGTTCACTACATTATGAGGCTTTTTGTAGTAGTTAAAAATTGTAGTATAGTCAGTTTGCAATGTTGTGTCAATTTCTGGTGTATAGCATAATGTTTCAGTCATACATATACATTCATTTTCAGATTCTTTTTCATTATAGGTTACTATAAGATATTGAATATAGTTCGCTGTTCTATACAGAAGAAGCTGGCTGTTTGTTATGTTTTTGAAGTCAGTATAGATGTACCGCATGTGTATTATCTATTATAATTTAAAATGAAAGAGCCCACAGTCACAATATGGGCTCCAGCCTGCTTTCTTTTCATTGCATTGACTGTCTTTGAAGCGAACATAAAGCCTCACACATTTTATGGTCAATAAAGCTTCCAAAACACACATTTTTAAACTTCTAATGTAAATATATTAATACCATCAATGTGATTTCTCATCTCATCTCCCGAGAACTCCTTTCTTGAATTTCCATTGGGAAGCCCTGAAATGACCTTAAAATCGGCATTCTACAAGTAATTTTTAATTTCCCCTCTGACTAACTCCAAACTTTATTCGCATAGTTCTGTTAATGGAACCACCATTCTCCAATTCACCCAGGCTAAAAACCTGTTATTGGCATTGATTAATCCATAGCTTTTTCTTCCGATAGCTAACTAGCCAATACATCTAGCTGACTGAGTTTTCCTTCAAAATATGACTTGGAGTCACCTCATTCTTTCTATTTCCTCTGCAACAATCAACATTCATACCTTGTTTTGCACCTCAAACTCACTAGTCTTTAAAAAAACAATGCACACACATTTACCTATCTTTCTGTATGTCTATCTATCTATAAAATAACTAGAATTGACAGATAATTTTATTATGGTCTTAAGTATCATTTAATAGTTATAACTGTGGAAAATTACTTAAATCCATGAAACTCATTTTTCTCAGCTAGTAAATGGCAATAATAATTACTAACCAAAAAAATCTAATGTAAACATTAAATAAAATATTTTTATAAACACATTAGTCTTATGGAAATATAACCATAAGGGAAACTATTACTTATTTATCATTTTATTTGAATTTAGTCTGCCCTTTCTTCAGTCAGTCAACCATTCACTTAGTCATTCACTTACTTATTTGTTCAACAAATAATCACTTGTTTGGGAAGCACTGACCTAGGTCTTGGAGGTATAGATTGATTTCACATGAATTTAGATTTACACCAATAAATCTCTTATTCCTCACAACAGCGAAAGACATTTCAATTCCAGAGCCCACAAGCATATAATTATTTCTCTCCCTCTCTGATTTGGTGCCTGGCTTTAAGTAATGTACATCACACTAGGGTAGCAACTGTATCTGTTAGCACCATGATGTTTAACATGCTTTTACAGAAGTATTCAGAATATTTTTCAGTACACACAAGATATCTAAGTCAATAAAAATTATAGACTTTAAAGAGGTGAAAGTGTAGCTGATACTTAATAGACAAGTATAAATTGACTAAACAAGAAGACAGATAAAAGTACACATAAGGATGCAGATATAGCAAACGGTAAGGCATAACCAAGCCCTTAGTTACAGAATGAGGTTATAACTATTCAGGGAGAGTTTCACTGTTTAGAGATCTTTGGAGTCTAATTCTAAGGATGGTGAATATCATTTTTGGTATGTGTGCAGGGGAAAGAGAGATTTATTTCTAACTTTGAGGTGCATTCATGCCAAATATGCACCACAAGCATTTTTTTAGAAAGCAGTTTGCCATAGTTTGTACTCCTGGGAAACGGTCTCTGAGACAGTGATTTGCTTAAAGGAAATTTACTTAGAGTGCTCTGGGCAATAGGACCTATGAGGGAGTAAAAGAGGTGACCGGTTGTTGAGTGCGGGCTGTTTCTGGGGAGAGGATGTATTTTAGGTGAGGCTGTGCAGGGCAATTTTAGCATAAGGACCCAGTTGTGAAACATAAAACGTAACTTTTGGACAGCTGGGAGAAACGCTTCTGTCCTTAGGTGGGATCTGGGTGGAAAAATATGGAACAGGGAAGAACAAATCTGATTCCATATTGGGTCTGTTTCTTTTATTTTAATCTTTAAATTCTGTTGTTTTTGCTACAGGTTAGGAATGTTGCCCATTGTCTGAAATATACAGGATAGCCCATTCTCAAGGTTCTCACCTTTAAAGATACAGCACTTTTCTATTCATATAGAGATAAAAAGTTGCAGAACAGAGAATAATATTTGTCTTATTGGAGGCTTATAGGAACATCATGATCTGACCCGCATGGACAGCTGAAAGAACAAAGGATTCTGACACCAAGAAGTTTGCAACAAACAGCCACACTGTCTCCCCTTTTGATATAAAGGAAGCCCAAATTCTAACTTGGGTAAGATGCTTCTTTGGGACGCTAGCCCATCAT